GTGATCGAAGACGGGGCCCCGATTAGATTGTCGCCATGGCAACGCAAACGCCTACCTAGGTACTCTAGGCTTCCATCCCGCCAAACAATCCACCAGTTCACTATCTGGCCCACTCCGCATTCTTAACCCGCGCCGCGCGCATCCTACCACGACACCACATTATCATGGCGCCGCGCACATCAACCGCCGTGGATAGCGGCAGCTTCGATCGCAACTACCTCGACTCCTCGCCCGACCCCCTCGCCGGCTCCATGGACGAAAACAGAGGGCGCGTCCGCAAAACGCGAGCGACGAAGCAACCATTGACCTCCAGCTCGCCCAGCAAGCAAAACCGCAGAACCAGCATCGGCGAACTCGACGTCTCCTCGCCCTCCAAGTCAATGGTGATGAGCACGCCGAGGGGTGGCGGCGCGAGTCCGTGGCGCATCAGGGTCACTGTTCAGGCCGAGCCAGGCACCGATGACGAGAACATGGAATCGCCGTCCATCAAGCGCATTACTAGAACCCAAACTACGACGGTTCCTCTAAAAGATCCCGATGCATCGTCACCTGTGAAACGACGTGGACGACCGAGGAAGTCGGATGCAGCGAGTGCGAAAACAAAGAGAAGCGGTACACCAGTCAAAAAGACGCGCGCAAAGTCGAAGAAGAGAGACCCGGGTGCAGATGCAAGCGCAGCGGATGTAGACACGGATGCGGCTCCTAAAAAGCGCAGAGGACGTCCCAGGAAGAGCATACCAGTGGAAGTGGACGAGACGCCGGCTGCAGAGGAGCCTGCATTGAACGTCCCACAACCGAGAGTCAGCAGTGAAGACCGTATAATCACACCATCACCTGAACCAGAGCTGGAATCGCAACCACGGATTGATGTGCCAGTCATCGAGACGACCTTCGCCACACCCCAGGATCAAGACAAGGCGCAAGCTGTCATTCCCAAGGGCAAAAACCTTCTTCCACCAGCTGGCCGAAAAGACTTGGATTTATTCCGAGATGTCGCAGCAGATATGCGCTTCACACCGCCACAGACCGACCTTTCGCAGAGAGTCCGCGCACGCAAAAACACTCCAGCTGCAAAGGGGAAGGTCTTGGTCGAGGTGGAGTCGGATGAGGAGTCGGACAATGAGACGGACATCCGTACACCATCGGGATCGGATGATGACGGCTTAAACGCTCAGTCGCAACGTGGGGTTATGCACTCAGACAATGCTTCTACCGAGCACGTTGAACAGATCGATCCGCCCAGTGACGACGAGTACGATGCGCTACAAGATATGACTGGTTTTGCATTTGAGGAAGGAGCCACACGGATGCCTGATGACACCACCATCGTTGAGAGCGAGCAATTCAGCATGATATCTGTCGATTCCTTGCCTAGTAGTGGAGGTTTGACAAGCCCGGTGTATGGACCTACAGGCCGAACGCCCACAGTCCCTCACGCAGCTGTGCGAAACCCCGAGTTCTTGAAGGTTCCAGCCGCAGAGAGTCGTCAATCCCAATCCAGATCATCGCCAGGGCCTTCACGTGCAGTGCCATCTGCCGCGCCAACGAAATCGTCTCCGGTGCCCGCAGCACCGCGATACATCACACCGTTGATGGACGAGAGGTCGCCCTCTCAGCCACCCGCAATTGAACCTGCGCGACTCTCTCCTACCGAAGCCAAAACCCCCAAAATTGGACCGGTAGTCAAGGCAGGAGTTGCTCTGCAGGGTGTGCTGGATCCACATCGTGTTACTCCAGAGGCAGGACCTTCAAGGGCCGGTGAGAGTCGGCCTAGTGGTCTGGATGACCTCTTTCGCGGATTCAGTGACCGCACTCGAAAAGACCTACAGGCAGGTCTACGTCTTGGCGAACAGTTGGCGAGGGAGAATGCATCGAACAAAGGATCTCCGGCCGCATTCTCGAGCCCGATCAAACCTAACAGGGCAATAAAGAGCAACGATGATGTTTTTGGCAATGAAACAAAGAAGCGACAACCGCGCCTTCTTACACCCGAGGACCAAGACGACCATGCTTTACCCTCACCTCCAACCACTCACCCCGATGAAGCTCAGTACCCATCGTTGGAAGCGTCCCAAGAAGGACCCCATTTGCTTACCCCTGCAGTAAGTCCGATGAGGAGCGACGACGAGATGAGTTGGAAGGTCGATACGCCGGAGGCCAGTACTATGCAGACCGCTGGCGGTCGCAGTATGACTGTGACCAACGAGTGCGGTGATGTGTTACGGGGAAAAGATATTTTTGTTGTGGCTGATCGCAATTCGTCGGGCGAAGATGACATCTGGGCGGAAGAGGCTGGTCGATTAACGCTTCCTGACGGAAATGCTACAACCGAATCGCCCCAAGCGCAGGATCTCTTTACTGAGGATGGCCCATCCAAACCAGCACGTGCGAAACTGCCCGCAACATGGAGGCGCAAGAGTGCAGCCAACTTTCAGTACAGTGATGAATCGGAAGAGTCGCCGGAGGAATACAACAATGATCCTCCGCAGGGCAAAGTGGACAAAGGCAAAGGCAAAGCAACCGCCGTTGATCTCGATCTCCAGATTACTGAGGATGAAGATCAGAGTGAAGAGAGCGATGATACGGGAATGTTCTTTACATCAAACCTGCCCAATGTCTTTAACAACAACAAGTCGGGAAGAGTTAGAAGGGGAAAGGCCGGGAAGGTGGACTTGACTACGCTCATGAATGAGGGAGACAGTCTGCTACCGGACTCATCACCTCCAGTTGTTCTCCCCGCTGGTACAACCGGTGTCAATAAGCCAAACCCCTTCTTAGACACTCCGCCACGCTTCCCAGGATTCCAATCCACTCCAGCAAAGAGCAGCCCTCTTCGAAAGGAAATCCGCGCGTCCAGCTCGCCATCAGAACGGCAGCCTTTTGAAGAGTCTACTCTGCCTCTACCACCAAGCTCTCCATTTCATACGCAAGTCGACGGTATGACTATGAATAGCACGGCATCAGACGAGCGTCAGCTGCGGGACGAAATGGGCAATCGAACGGACTCTAGTCTACGGAAAATCCGAAACGAAGCAGATGACTACATATTCGGGTATGAAGAGCAAGACCGCACGTTAGGTGATATCGAAGAGGTTACGGAGCAGAGCAGGACTTTGAGGGGGGATATTCAATCAAGCGCTTTGGGATCCAGACAGTTCGGGCAGAGCACGCTCAATCCTCGGCGCGCAACGCCGTCCAGCAGCAGGAATAGTCCCCACGTTTCCTCCGCGTCAAGATTTCGTGCTCACACGACGCCAACGTCCCCTCCAAAAACTACACCGAAAGTCATCGCCAAAGCACCGGCGCAGTCCAAACAAGCAGCCAAGCCCTCCACAGGCTTGATCGGCCGTCTAAGCTCCACCATTTTCGGTAGTTCTTCCACACCCAAAGAGGAAGCACCACAAGCGCAGAAACAAGCAAAAGCACCACCAGCGTCTGCATCAAGACCCACCTCTCCTACCAACCACCCAATGGCATTCAAATTCGACAACCTCCCTGCCTACGAACCCTGGACAAAAACCCACTACAAAACCCTAGATGCGCTCTTCCAACTCTCACGCCTACACCCAGAGCTCTTCTCCACAAACCTCTCCTCACCCCACTACCTCATCAATACCACGCTCTTGACCAGCTTCATCACCGCGGCCAAGCTCCCCTTTATCGGCGCCGTGCTCTCGGCCTGGGGCTACAGTTTTACCTGCACGGAAGAAGACGTCGTCATGTGCGCTATATTCTACCAATTGTTGACGTTGAAGGATGTGGCAGAGTATGAAGAACTGTATGGCAAGAGGATTGTGATGGGGGATTGTAAGCCGGGGAGGACTAGGGAGAGGATCACGAGGAAGGCGGTTTTTGAGAGGTATGCTACTGTGGTGCTGGGGGATCATCTTAGGGAGGATGAGAGGAATGGGGTGAGGATTGAGAGGGACGAGAGGGGTTTGAGGGTGCAGTGGCCATCTTTAGAGGAGACGGAGGAGGAGTGAAGAAGTGGATAGATATAGCGTTATAGTTGGGTGGAAGGGCTTTTATATGTGGGGTCTTTTATTATATTGTCTCGATGAGTGAGTGAGTGGCGTTCTTGGGGGGGGGAGGCGGCGTTGGGTTATGTATTATCATGATACCTCTTGTCTGTCTATCTGTCCGTCTCTCATTGTGTCAAACAAAAAATCAATTCCTCTCTTACATCCTTCCGATCTCTATCCCCTTTTGCTTCTCTGCCCCATCCCCCTATCAAAACCCCTTACTCCCTACCTCACCCGCAATTTGACCGTTGCGCTTCAGCACCCCCTCACATACACACAAACTCCCTCTCTCGTGGTACCAACATCCCCGCGAATAGGTTTGATTAGTCCTTTGCAAAGCTTACACAGGGTAGGTACAACACGTAGTATACTCTATAAAGAGTTAGATGTTATGCTTCCCAAGGACGGTCTCCCACAAGTAGACTAGAGAAAGGGCCAGCGCGCGTCAAAGCCAAAAAATGGGAGTCGTCATCTCACGAACGCTCTAAAAGCAAGACGAAGAGAGATAGAGCGAGTGCGAGAAAAGGTGCTTAACAATATCTTCCTCAGCGCCTCCATCATTCATTAGCATCCAGCATCTTTTGCCAACCCTTCCAATAACTATCCAAAGCAAATCTTCCACAAACTCAAGACTCCCTCCGCTCCCGTTCTTCTCCAAACCCAGCAAGAACCCCATTCAGCAGCCACCACACATATCCCAGCAGCCTGCCTTCCAGTTAGTCAGTAATGGACACGATGAAAAACCCAGTCCCGAGAGCAAAGTACAACCAGCTTTTCTCATCCCACTAAACCAACCAAGGAAACTAACACCAACCAACCCATCCTCATCTGCTCTCCCAGGTGATGTTCCATCAAAAAAAAATTCCCCACCCCACTCCATCCATCCCACCAACTCCCCGATGAGCGAGCCCCTCCCCCCCTTACCTCAGCGACACCCAACCCTCAAGCCGTACAACAAAAAGAAAAAGAAACAAAGCAGGGCTCGACCGGGGTTTGAACCCGGGACCTCTCGCACTCTTGGAACGCGCAGTGCCCAAAGCGAGAATCGTACCACTAGACCATCGAGCCGTGGATTCCTTGCAAGTCAAGTTGGGGATTATAGGGGGCGAAAATATTTGTAGTATGCGTTTTTTGGGAGCAGCGGTGCTAGGGATTCTCGGGGAAGGGTGGAGGGAGGGTGGAGGGAGGGTGCGGAGGGAATGCCGGGGTGGTGGCAAACAGATTGAGGGGTGGGCAAACGGGAGAGGCACGCGACGAGCAGTGTGGATGGAGGTTGGAGAGGAACATGCCAGATAGGTGCGGGACTTTTGGGGCGGGAAAGGTTGGGATGGGAAGGGGGAATGAGTTGGTTGGGATAGAGTGGTTGGGGATTGGATGGATTAGTTATTCTTCTGCTCTTTTATGGATGATTGAAGGGCAGGAAGCTTACGTATCTCAACGATATCTGTCTACTTCCTAAGTCAATAACAGTGAAGTTGTTTTTTCCACAACAGCAGCTTTCACGAAGCTAGAGATATAAGAAATTGAGTCGTAAGAGATAGTGTAGCGATAAGTGAAGTTGCGAGACGTAGAGGAGGCGTTGACTGGGAAATTTGTTCAAAAATGACTCGGGTCCGCTCAAGTTGATGTTCGTCTACTAAGCTAGCGCAGCCGGTTGTGAGACACCCAGGGATATGAGACACCGCGCAGAAATCCTCCACCCTTCAAAAAATCGCGATAATTAATTCAGCGTAATTACAATTGCCACTCACTACACATGGATTGTAGAGTTTTTGCTGCTACTTCTGCTGCTAGTTTTTCTGCCTCTTTTTCTTTGTTAGGGTTATTATTTTGTTCCTCTATAAGCTTAGAAGCCTCTACTGCTATCTTAATCATATCTACGTTGGCAAAGCGTTAATTTAGGTCCATACGAACCCTTTTTCGTGGTACTTAAGGCTTAAGAGCCTTAAGTTAGCTCTGCAATTATTTGTTCTCTACTTCTAGCGCTGCTAAGCGAGTATTTGCAACTGCAATTGCCTTACTAGCTTTCTTAAATAGTTAGTGAACCTTCCGACCTATACTTTACTCTTTATAAAGCGCTCGCTAAGCTATAAATAGATTACGAGGGCCGTGGGGAGTAGAGAGATAGCTCTTAATTAGTTATTAAGCTTAATTCTAGCAAAGTAGCGTAACAGGCCTTTAAGTAACTTAAGATAAGTTAATTACTCGCTTAATATTTAATAGGTAGATGCCTGCAGTAGCCTATCCCACGCGGATTACTTTCTTAGTAATCGCAGCCTCTTTAGCAGCGTGGTAGGTAGTAATAAATCATTTATTTTTAACTAGAGTAGCATTATTAAAGTGTAATAACTCCTAGATCTACTAGTAATAGAATTGTTTTACTACTAAGAAAACAGAGAGATCTAGAGGCTATAGAACGTAAGATAAGTAAGTAGGGAGAAATAGAAGCTTAACTTTATTTTGCTTGCAAATCTATAAAAGGTCTAGGTCTACATAGCTGCCGTGGCTATCTAAAATCAGTATCCTCTAGCAATCCTCTAAGGGCGCAGTTTCTAGCAGAAATACACGTTGCAGCTACTTAACGCTAATCGCGTTAGATGTCTAGCCATTCTCTGAGGTTGCGTATAGCTAGTTAGGTATTATTAATAGAAACTAGGTGCTTTATAGGTATTTACCTTTAAAAATAACTACAGGCCTTAGCTTCTTGCCCATTGCTAAAACGCACTTAATTATTAACGCCTACTTGTGATTCTCTAGCGACTAATAGTAAGCCTTTATTTTCTAACTGTCTACGAGTACTCTGGTGTTTGCACATATACCTAAGGCCTTGCTAGTCTCATCCATATTCTACGTATCCTTATTGCGTATATTTAGCTTAACGCGGAGCTGCTTATAAAGCTCAAGAAACTCGCGTAGTGCCTCTTAAGTTACTCCTTTAGCTCTTGCAGCCTTAATCTTCCTACCCATAATAGAGGTGACACGTGGGTTGCGTTTAATAAAGTAGGATATCTAGTGTTTACCCACTAACGTAGGCTCGCCATTTATCCTTAGGATTTAATTCGCTATTTCTCGTGTACGAGCGTGAGAAGGAGGATACCCGCGTGCGCCCTCTTTAAGTATCTATTATATAAGGAAGTCCTCTTGTTGTGGAGTCAATCGTTGCTGGTATACGTAGCTGTTTTGCTAGTTTTGTAAACCGCGTACGCGCCTTGAGAGCGTGGCTAGGGGGACGTTGTATGCCTTTGCAGCAGCTCGTTGACTAGGAAGAACGCCAGCATTGAGATCACTAATAGCTGCTTGAATTGCTGCCTCACGGTTGGCCATTTTGGTAGGGTGGATGTGGAGATATCGCGATTTTTTTGAGGGGTGGAGGATTTCGGCGCGGTGTCTCATATCCCTGGGTGTCTCATGACCCGATGCGCTAGCTTATTACTCTCCCCAAAAAAAGACGGCGTCCCGCCAATGTCCCACCTACATACCACCTCCTCAAAAAAGACACCACCCCACTCAACTCTAACCAACTATCTTACCCCAGCAAAAAGAATATCTCAACTCATCTGGGCTCCGCCGCGATTCGAACGCGGGGCCTCCTGCAATTTAGACATGTTACCCAAAGCAGGAATCATACCACTAGACCACGAAGCCGCAACATTTAACATGGTTTGAGTTATGAAAGTTTTCTCGCAATTTGGTTTTATATACCTTAAGGCACAACACTCCGTGAGTGATGATGGCGGAGGCGGCCTTTCTCGAAAGTGGGGTATGTAGCGCTAAGCTTGAGGGCTGGGGTGGGGTGAGTCAGGTGTAAGCAAGGGCGCCGATTCGGTCTGGACTTCATGGATGACGTGGGGCTACTGGTCTAGGTATATGGGGCACCATCTATTTTGGCAAGATAGTAGGGAAATTATGCCTGCTCCCAGAGACACACGTTAGATGTTTGAAGTGGCGCTTAAGGCATAACTTGACATACTTATGCAGCATAGCTACCGATCACAAACTTCGGAATCATTACCCATGCGAAAACAAGCCATGCATCAACGATAGTAACATTTCCCCTACCTACGCGAAAGCAAACATCACTGCACCACAAACCGCTCCCTATGCTCCTTAACCAAGACCGAAGAATCCAATACCTCGCCCGTCTTGGACCGCACAAACTCGACCTTCAACTCGCGCTCACTCAGCAGCGAAATCGTCGCATAGCTAAAATCCTCCGCGTACGCGAAAATATTTGTAGAAAAATTGGCTCCGGGCTGCACCAAACCCTCGATATTTCCCGCTCCGCCGGCGACAATATACATAGGCGCCTTTGGATTGTTCATACCGGCGGGATCAGCGACGGAATTGTTGACGGGCAGGAAGCGCTGCGAGTTATGCACATGGCCGAACACGGCGAGGTCGACGCCGTATTTGTATAACAGGGGTTCGAAGGCTTTCTGGCACGCGGTGCAGGGCGTGCTTCCTTTGTTCGTGTACCAGGGACGGTGGCCGCCGACGACTACCCAGGGTGTTACTGTTCGGTCTACAGATGCGAGGTCGGCGGCGAGGAAATCGAGCTGTTGGTTTAGTTTGCCAAAGGGGCCGCCGTAGAGACCTGCAGAGCCGCCGGGCTCGTCGGGAGCATCTGGAAAGTCGGTCTCGGTGTCGATCATGGTGACGTGTACCATGCCGTACTCGAAAGAGTACCAAAAAGGCGGGTTCGCGAGGACAGCTGCCTTGTTCGCGTTCACCTTTGCGGCATTGTCGGAAGAGCCTGACGTGAAGGCTCTGGGCATGGTCGTGCCGAAGCGGTTCATGAAATCGGTAAAGTTCTTCTGGCCTTCGGGGCAGAGGCCGCTGACGAGGGGGATTTCATGACATGCTACTTCGTGATTCCCTGGGCTGGCCATGTAAGCTTTTCGACCGGAAATTGGGGCGAGCTGTGCGTAGAATTGCTCCAGAATCGCTTGAAATGCATTGGTGCCATCGAACAAGTTCTTGGGCTTTATGAGCCAGTCGTCTGCATATGCCAAGTCGCCAGGGTGGATGACGAATTCGTAGTCGTCGACGGTTTGGGCGAGGCGGTGGATGGTAGTGTGGTTGAGCGAAGGGTCGACTTGCGGGATTGTATCTCTCTTTGTGTTGTCGCCTTCGATCGTATATCCATCAGCTCCGTAGACGCCCATATCAATTACGGCGTTCATAGCAAAAGGTGTCTTGTCGCCGGGCACGCGTGGGCTCAGAAAATGCTCGACGCTGGAGTTAGTAGATACAATCTTGTAGAAATACGTCGTGGCCGGTGTCAGGCCCGTCAGTGTTACGGTATTAGAATATGTGCGTGACGTAGGATACGTGATGGAGCTGGTCGAGCATGTTTGGGAATTGAGAGCATTGCTCGAAGTCCCGTATTGGACGCAAGCCTGATCGAGCTTCTGGTAAGTGTTCCACCCGACGGAAACAGCTTTTATTCAAGTCAGCAAACCGAGTCCTCGATCCCCTCAAGAACATACCATTTTGTCCTTTGACGGCCAGACGCTGCTGTACTGGCGTTGTCCGATCCTGAGGAATAGCTGGGTAGCTTGCAGCAGCCAAAGCACATGCTATTAAAAGCGGAAACAGCCTCGCTGAGGTATAAATGCCGTCCATCGTTGAATTAAGGAAACAGAGAAAGTCTTTAGACCGACACCTTAAATAGCTTCAAGAGGCACCGTCTATATGACCATTTATATATGTTCTAGATTCTGGTATACACCATCCTTCTGAGGTTGTACCATGGTAGGGGTGCAGTGAGCATCAACATGCCTGCCAGCGAAGAGCTCGTGGCCCAACGATTGGTCGGAACAGAAGCTGGGGAAGTATTGAACAGGAAACAAGCTCTGTGATCCCCCAGCGTGTTGTTCACATCAAGCATTGCTCCGATGAAAGAAATCAGCCGGCAATCATCCAGCATCAGCTCTCAAGCCATGGCAGCGAAATCCCTCGTTGCAAGGTGCACTGAGGTGGGACGTCCTCTATAGGTTCCGGATTCTCCAATATTGAAGGTTCGCTCCAGCTGTCTCCGGATCACGTGCTGATCCCTGCTCCGAAGCGACAAGAAAAAGGATGTCGAAACGCGCGATCACTGCATCTTCACGAACAACAAACCTTCTCCTCCTGTGTTCATACGTTAATACCTTCTTTTTGTTATACATTGGCGCGAGAACTGCATGCTTGCGAGGGGTAAATACGCCTAGGTATGTCCCGAGGCACATCATCTTCTCCGCGCCTACACAATTGCACGTGCGCCTTCCAGCATCTATGCATCCAACATGATGCATCACGCAGTCACAACTGACCTTCCACAAAAGCCTTACGATGAGTTGAGCCAACCAATCCCGGCTTTCCTACAATGCGTCTCACAGCCATCCTCTCCCGCATGAAAATCGCCCACGACGCCACCGTCCCCGAGATCCTAGCCATCACAAAGTACACGCCCCAGCAATGGGAAACCTTCCGAGTAACCGCCCCTCACGTGCATCCCCCAAATCCATCTTGCTCAAAAAGTACTAACGAGGGCGCGTTCAATTTCAGAACGTCACCGACGCGACAGCAAAGACCATGTACGCGAACAACGAGATCCCGCGGCGATGGCGCAGAATCAAGCCCGCAGAACAAAAGGACATTTTGCAAAATGTCTGCCGGCTTATGGAAAAGAGCGGGGTTAGGAAGTTACCCGAGGAGGACCTGATTGCTTGGAGGATGAGGAGGGTGTGGAAGAATATGCGGAGGACGAGGGCTGGTATGTTGGAAAAAGATATATATGAACAGTGCTTTACTGACTCGATCTAATTTCAAACAGCCGCCGAAGCGCGAGAAAAATACGTCGAAGAGCATAAAGCTACCATCCCGGATTCAGACGCGGATATCAGCGCGCACATAAACACTATGAGGGTATGTCTACTTGCTCCTGCGCCCCTGTAAAAGCTGCCGCGTGCTTACTCCTTGTATAGCGCCATGTACGCTTTCAAATATATCCCTATGCAGAAGCACACCCGGATAAAACATGGACTGAGATCCCGATGAGCGTGCGCAGTCGCATTTTCGAGAGCGTGAATGTAAAGTTGGAAGAAGGGGGGATCCCGCCCGTGGATCGGGACTTTATGGAGTATCAGATGCAGATGGCGCTGATGTATTGGAAGATTCAAAATAATAGGAGAGCGGCTGCAGCCAGAGAAGACGACGGGGAGGAGGAACCGAAGAAGCAGCGGAACGAGGAACTGAAGAAGCAGCTGAAGGAGGAACCGAAGGAGGAAGTGAAGAAGGAAACGAAAAAGCGGGAAAGAAAAAGAAGGGAAAAAGAGACGACCACTGAATAGAATTTGTTCTGATTGATGCACTGATCCGTGAGTGTCCTTTTCTCTGCACTCGAAATATTATATACACTGCTTTCGCGACCTAGATATCCAATCCTGATCTAGGTCTTCGGTATCTCGGTTATGTGCGAAGCACCTGTTCAATCGGCCTGCTTTTCATACGCCGTGCTGAACCTCCTTTAGATATCTAGCTTTTTCCACGCAGATTCTCTCTTCGCAATTCGACCCCGTACTCCTAGACACGTTTCCTCCTCCCTCACTTCTCGGCGATAAGGAACACCTTCCCCTCACCCCGCCCCATCGCATTCAGGACAGCCTTCCAAGCTCTAACGTCCGTCCTCCAAGCTTCAACAAGCGGCACTCCACCAGCCTTTCCGAACATCAGCGTCGTCCGCTTGACCGTCCACGAATCATCCCTAATCGCCATCTTCGCATCAGGAACCGGAGAACGTTCTTGCTTCAGAGACTGCGAACTCGAACGGCGACGAAGCAGTGAACGCGAGCTACTCGGCGATTGCAGGAGAGTGGTGGAAATGAAGAGGGCGGCATCGGCTGTGGGGGGAAGTACGGGCATGGTTGCCGTGCGGGCTACACGGGAGCGAGTAGACTTTGGGCTTCCTAGTTCTCTGCCTAGAAGCGCGTTGGGTCGGTGGAAGGGTGATGGGGATGAAGAGGTTGCTTGCGGCGATGAGGATGCGGGGTTGGTGGACGATGGTTGAGGAGGTGGGAATTCGGATTCGAGATAGCGTGGGGAGGGAGACGAGTCGGGCTTATAAGTTGATGGTCTAGTCGGATCGATGGCGATGGTGTTGGAGAGGCTTGATGATTTGGTGGTTGATGGAGAGCCGGCGTCGGATGGCCTGGAAGTAGCTGTCATTGGACGATCCGTCTTCACGGGTTCGTTAGAGACGCGGGAGGTGCCAGTCGCTTCGGATGTTTTAGGTGTCACCTTCTTCGGATGCGCCGTGTACGTGGGGTGAACGGAGGTACTGGAGGCGGACGTTGGGGGAGCATCGGAAGCCTTATCGGGATCTAGAAAGAGTTAGCAAAGCTCATCCAAAGGGGTGTCAATGGATGGTATGGAGTGCGTACAGATGGTATGCAGACACTCGGTCGTCCTTGTAACCGCAGACGTCGGCCACGCGATCATCAACCACGGCGCGACTTCCTCATCGCCATCTTCTTTCTTTCCCTTCACAACGATAAAGGCCCAGCGTCCTTCTCCCCGCTCGTTCCTTTCTCGCGTATCCATTCCATACTTGCGCTTCTTGGTTTCACCCGTCTCCGCAGTCCCGGCCATCTGCATCATCCGCT